AACATTCTGGTCACTGGATCATGACTGGATGACATGGAAAACAGTGAGATTTTCAAAACAATGAAAAGACAATGGAACATTCTCATCACTGGATCATGACTGGATGACATGGAGAACAGTGAGATTTTCAAAACAATGAAAAGACAAAGGAACATTCTGATCACTGGATCATGACTGGATGGCATGGAGAACAGTGGGATTTTTAAACTATGAAAAGACAACGGAACATTCTAATCACTGAATCATGACTAGATGACATGGAGAACAGTGGGATTTTTAAACAATGAAAGGAGAATGGAACATTCTGATGACTGGATCATGACTGGAGAACAGTGGGATTTTCAAAACCATGCCTGTGTATTTAGTTTTTTGCAAGTAGCCAAAAAAATTTTCAGTTAGCCCTGCCTGGTCCAAACTTGCTCGCTTCGCTTGAAGCTTGCAAATTGCGATGTTTCATATTGTCAAAATTGAGTGTCCGCTAATTTGCTCAAACCCAAATCTGTTCTAACCCAATGCAGTTCAGGCATTTGAAAAAGGAGTTCAGACATTTGAAAACCCAGTTTTGGCTTTTGAAAACGCAGTTCTGGCATTTTAAAACGGAGTTTTGGCATTTGAAACCGGAGTTCTGGCATTTGAAAACGGAGTTCTGGCATTTGAAAACGGAGTTCTGGCTTTTGAAAACGGAGTTTTGGCATTTGAAAACGGAGTTATGGCATTTGAAAACGGAGTTCTGGCTTTTGAAAACGAAGTTTTGGCATTTGAAAACGGAGATCTGACAAATAGACAGGCGAACAAACAGACCGATAGGCCCCGCTGGACATAGAATCAAAACAATGAAAAGACAATGGAACATTCGGATCACTGGATCATGATGTTGAACGATATTTACCTTGCCTGCAGACTTCCCTAGACCGCCTGCAATATCCATGTTATACCTGAAGAAAGATTAGACATTAATTAATTTCAATGCATGATTAACAATTGCATCTCTAGGGAGAACAGTTTAGAACTGATAGAGCTATCCAGTATAAATAAAGTTAGTTTAGTTTAGGTTTCCTCCTGTAGTAACACTGGATCAATAAGAGATGATCCTTACTGGACCTCTAGGAAGAACAGTTTAGAACTGATAGAGATGTCCAGTATAAATTAAGTTAGTTTAGTTTAGGTTTCCTCCTGTAGTAACACTGGATCAATAAGAGATGATCCTTACTGGAACTCTAAGAAGAACAGTTTAGAACTGATAGAGCTATCCAGTATAAATAAGGTTACAGTAGTTTACATACTTTTCGCCAATGAATGCTGGAACATTTTTCTGGTCAACACCTTGTGGAATGACCACACCAGTGATGGTGGGCAAACGATGACGCTAAAAAAAAGAGATCATTTTAAAGCATTTGTATCCAAGGGCGGATTTTCATTTTTTTAAAGGAGGATGGAAAAATGTCTAGTGGGGTGCAAGCGGCACCACTGTGCGAGCTTTTTACAGGGGTTAGGCGTTAGGGTTAAAGACTTTCACACAAAATAGGAAGAGTGAAGGGAAATTTTGATGGGGTTGAACACTTTATAAGAGGGTTAGAGAGGTTCTAAGGGGGGCTTAACCAATATCTCTTTGGTATTACCTTATCCTGAACGAAAAATGTAAGTCCCATTTTCTCAAAGCCATCTTGCAAAAGTTCAGCATTTTTCTGATGTCTTGCAATGAAATTTTCAAGACCCTAAAATCCGATGAAAATGTCCGATTATACTTACAAACTGAGCAAGACATGACACTGTTTATATCATATCTCCCCAAACCAACCTCCTCAACGACCAATGAAAGAGCCTCTCGCAAAGCATAAACAGAGTTAATTGGTGCAGTGTGATGATATCTATAGGAAAACAGGAATAAAAACTAAATGATATGATGAACATTGCATATTAGAAAGACAGAACGCTTGTTTACTCTCTTGAACTGACCAACCATACTCCACAAATATGAAATTTGAAGCAAATAAAGTCTGTCCAGTGAAGTCACCCTATATCCTAACATGCTGTATGTAGATAAATCTTGTGAGCTACAGGGGATCGGGGTAGTGATCTAACCACACTCTGTGATAATTTTTACCTGCGTGGTCCATCGTCACATCCCCAATAGTTTGCGATCATCGTGAGATCAAAATAAAATGATGGAACCTTTGTGTTTCTTGATTGTAATTTCTTCCTGTGAAATATTTAACAACTATCTTTTAAAATCATCAAAGCCAATTAGACAGAGTAAAATAAGAAAGTGGGGCGGCGCATTCAAACCTTTGCACAAAACGTGAAAGTGTATCTTTTTTCAAACACAAACCACGGCAAAACACAGAATACTACCATACACAAACCACGACAGCTTATTGTAGAATACTACCTACACTGGACCACCACGTTTGAGATATCTTTTTCAGGTAGTTCAGACCCAAACCACGACAGCTTACTGTAGAATACTACCTACACTGGACCACCACGTTTGAGATATCTTTTTCAGGTAGTTCAGACACAAACCACGACAGCTTATTGAAGAATACTACCTACACTGGACCAACACGTTTGAGATATCTTTTTCAGGTAGTTCAGACACAAACCACAACAGCTTATTGTAGAATACTACCTACACTGGACCACCACGTTTGAGATATCTTTTTCAGGTAGTTCAGACACAAACAAAAGGGACTTTAAAATTGACATTCACAGCAAACTGCAAACAGCAAACTTCAGATTGTAATTTGAAGTCAACTGTTAGCTGTTCGAAGTTAGGGCAACTTGCACACTATAATTGGAGCATGAAATAGCTACTCTTAGTTGTCAAAACTGTAGGCCTTCTTTCAAATGCGATTTGAAGTTTGCAGTTTGCCGTAAACGTAAATCTTAAAGTCCCTAATATCAGCGTATTGTACAGGTTAAATATTTTCACTCACCAAGCTCGAGGACTAAGTGATATAGGGCTTAACCCAGGTGGAGCACCCAGGCATTTCTGTGAACCACTATATACAACATCAATTTCGAGGTCGTCCACATTCAAAGGTGATCCTCCGAGAGACGCCACACTATCCACAATCAATATACAATCATTGCTGCAATATAATTATAAAACACGAAGGTTGGATCAAAGTTGCATAGCGATATTAAAAACTCGATCATCCAGCCTTGCAATATTTAAGAACATGATTTGCAAATTACTGACATTGAATGTATGCTAGGTGGACAATAACTGTATATTGCTGCATTTTATGCAGCACTTAATGCAGAATATTATGCAGCACTTAATATTTTTACATATATTTTTATATAGATTTATTGATATTATAGATAAATAGTGTCCCCAATTAGCTACTATAGTATTGCTAAATAATGTATCAGGACACTTTAATAAAGTTTATTATTATTATTATTCTCAACATGCAATAAAATGTACTTCAAGTTATTACTTGTCAGTGAGGGAACAAATCTTGCAATATTCCTTGGCAGATGAAATCACTGAATATAGTATCATATGATCAGGGTTTTCAGTTTTGTGTGAGGCCTTGGCTAATCAGGTGATGAAGCTATGGCAATAGATATTATTTCTACTGATAGAATTTACAAATTTGGGCGAGTACACATAATAGAGACGTGACTAAACGTAAAAGCTCTGGCGAATTCGGGTGGGGTTGAATGAAAGTCTGGCGAAATTCACCAGCCTAAAGTTCAATAACAGAAGACATACATGGAATAATATTCTGCTCAGAAGAGTAACCCCCTGCCCGTAAAGCTTGATTCACACTAGCGATTTTGTAGGGAATTTGATCTTTCGGGCACTAAAGTATACATTTTTTTTTTCAAAGTATACATTTCTAAGTCTAAATTGCATGTCATTCATTAAATCACATCACTCAGGAGGAGAACAATTTGTGGACAGAACTGCTAGTGTTTGCTTTAAATCTGCCTGTAAAATCATCTGGCATTAGAAAGATTAAAAAAATGAAGTCAGTTGCATTAGGGTGTATAGCAGTTTAAATAACTTTCAATAAATGGATTACTATAACTCTCAAGTGTGTAAACAACTAGCACTCACTTATGGCAAAGTTTTCCAATGCCTTCCAGAGGTTGACATGTTGTGCCTGAGGACTCTCCATGAGTGATAAACACTACGCCTGGTTTATGCTCCTCTATTCCCTGAAATTGAATTAAAATGTTGTTTATATTGTCGATTTCAAGTCACTTTTAAACACGCGGTTCCCAAGTTCACTGCAAACATGCCAATTACATTTCCAAGTTTGAAAATTGGCACAAACTTCGCAACAAAGTTTGGAAGTTCATTTCAATGTTTGAACTTCGTTTGTAAACAAATGTTCATACTCAATATATAATAACCAATTCAACGAAAAACAAACCGTCTTGGTAGATCACTGGACCAAGATCTTTCCATTGAATTGTTAATTTCAACTTTAACTATGAACATTTGTTTACAATAGTTCAAATGCTGAAATGTGCTTGTGAACTGTGTTGCAAAGTTCACACCCAATTTTCGAACTTGGAAACGTAATTGGCAAGTTTGCAACGAACTTGGGAGCCGCACATTGAAAAGCGACAATCGACAGTAATAGTGTCACCACTCTCCCCTTCAACAATTCAAGTGAAATCGTCTGCCATTAGACAAAGTAAAATGGTAAAGCTGATACTCTGATTAACCCAATGAGTGGCAACACTCTCCCCTTGATGAGTAAAGTTTACTTTTCTTGCAGCAAGCAGTTTGATTGTAGTTTGTAATTCAAGTTCACCTGTATCTAGACAGAATACACACCACCTGAATTTGTTGTAACATATGACTTGTCAGTTTGCATATTATGAACACAGTTCTATTACAGACGAATCTTCAGATAAAAGATTTTTCTTTGTGCAAGTAGGTCAGCATCTGCTCATGACTCTAGTGTAAATTAGTCAATGTTAATAACCTTTTGTATATGTTCCAAAGTAAAAACTTCACCAATAGGTCTTTCTATCTTTCTGACATCACAACCTAACAAAATTACACAGGCAGATATATATGTAGAAATTGAGGAATATGTCAAAATGAACAGAAATTGTGTACAAAGCCATCTAAAGCCTCATTATTAGACAGAGTAAAATAACAATGCAGAAAGCATAGGGGGCATTGCAGTTTAATGGTTCACAATAAACTGACTGGTAATCCTTTAAGTGGCAATGCACCATGACACACCCTACTTTATTTTACTCTGTCTAATGCCAGACGATTTTACTCGTAAAGGGGAAAGTACTGCCACTCAATGGGTTAACTTAACTAACACAATCAACCAGTGGACTGGTCATAATTTATCAGGGGGGTGGGCCATGGGGAGGTGTAATTCAAAATCTTAAGGAATGATATTTTGTGACCCTGCTTTGCCATAACCTGGAAAAATAATGCCCCCCCCCCTCTCTTGCTCGTGTCAGTAAAAATGTACCTAGTCATGCTTTAAATTAAATACTAAAATTTATATTATACCAATACTATAATACCTAATTAATTGAACTAAAACAGCAGACCTCCTCCCCACCTTCATAAACTGTCTAATATTTTATGAACCCCCCTTTTTCCTAGCTAAAAAAGTGACCCCCCCCCCACTGTTTCCACCTCCCCAACCCTCCTGCTAAATTATGACCAGCCCCTTATAAATTTGAGCAACTGAACAGTGAGCACATGAACTCCAGGGGTCACAATTTAGCTGCTAAAAAGGTGTCCTCAACCCCCTTTCAACCCCTGTGCGAAAAATAAATGCAATCTGCCAATAAACAAAGAGGACACTTGCCTATTCTTTCAGCCATATCAGACGCTCTCTCCCCCCAAATTCCATTCTCACAAATCATTATTTTCTCGCCTCTTTCTGTCATGTTAATAATGGAAGCTTCCATACCACTATGACCAGTACCGCTTAGCGCAAAAGTATGCTTATTTTTCGTCTGCCAAATGTACTGTAAACCCAACTTTACTTCATCCATAATTGCACAAAACCGTGGGTCTAAGAGATCAATAATCGGCTGAACGCAGGCATCCAGTACCTTTTGGTGGGTATTTGAAGGACCTGGGCCCATTAACAACCGTTCTTTAACTTTTAAAGGCACTAAAAGTTGTTTAGGAGGTTCAACAACAGCCATATTGTTCGTCTTTCCTCTTGTAAAAGTGAATACACGCAGAAAATTAGAATTTTTTTTTTAAAACCCATTCGCAGGCTAAAACCCATAGAAAGGCCTGCATGCAGCAATAATGCAAAATTCCTAGAAACTTGGTTCTCATGTCACGCAGTCACGAAATATGATTGCTTAGGAGGTTAGGCGAGGTTTCGTGACATGAAAGTTTTGACAGTGTATTAATAAATGGTAGCTTGCGTGTCACAAAATCTCATGTGGTACGATACCCCAGAGAGCCTGTCACGCAGGCTACGATACCCCCAGAGGTCCCTACCAATTTATTACCCCTCTGAAGTTTGCTAAATTTATTACGGAGGGGGGGGGCATTACGCCTCTGAAGTTTGCTGTAAACCTCTTCCATTTCAAAAGACACAACAACAACATAAATATATAATGCTTTAATTGAAAAACTACTAAAATAAAATAATTCCCAAGACCCAATAACTCTACAAATTATTTTGTAATTTGATATTATCCATGGCGTCCTGGAAAGCTTTTAGGACAAGATTGACATTATCTTTCGTACTGTTCACACCCATCAAACCAACACGCCAGATCTACAATATAGCAGTAGAATTTCGAGCAATCTGATTAATAGATAAAAGCGGTATAAAATGTAAGGGGCAGTGGCGGCGTTAGGAGGTGGGAAGGGGGGCAAATTTGCTTCCTCCCAAAAAATTATTAGTCACTGAGAGCGACTAATATGAGCGTGCTTATGACAGGGATTCTCATAAGCACGCTAATACAAGCATATCAGATCACTGGATCATGACTGGATGGCATCATAGTTAATAGAGGAGATGGTTTGGAAACTCATTAGCATTACAATAAACCTCACTATCTATGTTTTTGTTGAGGTTTATGCAAAAATGTGGTCTTTCATCGTCACGTGCGTATTGTATTTTTGCTCAACCAGCCAATAGCAACGGTTTTGTCCAATTGCCCATCCATGACTTTAACAATAGGACATTTTGAACATTCCTATTGGTTGACTTGAGAAAAATACAATACGCATGTGACGATGAAAGACCACATTTTTGCATAAACCTGAACAACATAGATAATGAGGTTTATTGTGATTTTATTGTAATGCTAACGAGTTTCCAAACCATCTCCTCTATTAACTATGATGGCATGGAGAACAGCGAGATTTTCAAAACAATGAAAAGACAATGGAACATTCTGATCACCAATGGATGGCATGGAGAACAGCAAGATTTTCAAAACCATGCCTGTATAATTTAGGGGTTTTTTGCAGGTAGGCGTGGTCCAAACTTGCCCGCTTCGCTTGAAGCTTGGAAATTGTGATGTTTCATATTGTCAAAATTGAACTGTTCTAACCCCATGCAGTTCTGGCATTTGAAAAGGGAGTTCTAGCTTTTGAAAACTAGTTCTGGCTTTGGAAAAGGGAGTTTTGGTATTTGAAAAAGGGATTCTGGCTTTTGAAAACGGAGATCTGACAAATAGACAGGCAAATAGCTGCGGTAGACATAGAATCAAAACAATAAAGAGACAATGGAACATTCAGATCACTGGATCATGATGTTAAACAATATTTACCTTGCCTGCAGATTTTCCTAGACCGCCTGGAATATCCATTTTATACCTGAAGAAAAATGAGACGTCAATTTCCTTACTAACAATGCATCTCTAGGAAGAACAGTTTAGAACTGATAAAGCTATCCAGTATAAATAAAGTTAGTTTAGTTTAGGTTTCTTCCTGTAGTAACACTGGATCAATAAGAAATTATCTTTACTGGACATCTAGGAAGAACAGTTTAGAACTGATAGAGTTATCCAGTACAAATAAAGTTATAGTTTAGTTTAGGTTTCCTCCTGTAATAACACTGGATCAATACGAGATGATCCTTGCTGGACCTCTAAGAAGAACAGTTTAGAACTGATAGAGCTATCCAGTACAAATAAGGTTACAGTAGTTTACATACTTTTCGCCAATGAATGCTGAAACTTTTTTCTGGTCAACACCTTGTGGAATGAGCACACCAGTGATAGTGGGCAAACGATGACGCTAAAAATACAGGATCATGTTAAAGCATTTGTCACTATTCTTATTGTGAGCTACCAAACTTTAACATAACTTTAACATGATAGCAATATTTATTTTGCATCACCTTATCCTGAACGAGAAATGCGAATCCCATTTTCTCAAAACCATCTTGCAAAAGTTCAGCACTTTTCTGATGTCTTGCAATGAAATTTTCAAGGCCCTAAAATCCGATGAAAATGTCCGATTATACTTACAAACTGAGCATTTGACACAACAATGTTTATATCATTACTGTAAATATCTCCCCAAACCAACCTCTTCAACAACCAATGAAAGAGCCTCTCGCAAAGCATAAACAGAGTTAATTGGTCCAGTGTGATGATATCTATAGGAAAATAGGAATAAAAACTAAATGCTGTGATGGACATTGCATATCAGAAAGACAGAATGCTTGTGAACTCTCTTGCCCTGACCAACTCTACTCCACAAATATGACATTTGAAAAGCAAATAAAGTCGGTGAAGTGAAGTCACCCTATATTCTAACATGCTGTATGTAGATAAATCTTGTGAGCTACATGTATCGGGGTAGTAATCTAACCACACTCTGTGATCATTTTTACCTGCGTGGACCATCGTCACATCCCCAATAGTTTGCAATCATTGTGAGATCAAAATAAAATGATGGAACCTTTGTGTTTCTTGATTGTAATTTCTTCCTGTGAAATATTTAACAAAATATCTTCATCATCAAAGCCAACAACTATGAATGAAATTATCAGCAACTCTGACACAATTTAGAACGGCAGCTTATTGTCTAATACTACCTACACTGGACCACCACGTTTGAGATATCTTTTTCAAGTAGTTTAGGCACAAACCACGACAGCTTATTGTAGAATACTACCTACACTGGACCACCACATTTGAGATATGTTTTTCAGGTAGTTCAGACACAAACATCAGCATATTGTAGACTGAGGTATATACTTTTACTCACCAAGCTCGAGGACTAAGTGATATAGGGCTTAACCCAGGTGGAGCACCCAGGCATTTCTGTGAACCGCTATATACAACATCAATTTCAAGGTCGTCCACATTCAAAGGTGATCCTCCGAGAGACGCCACACTATCCACGATCAATATACAATCATTGCTACAATGGAAAATTCAAATTCTGTTAAAAAGTCAGTTGTCATGTTACTTTTCAATGATTTGTAAATATGTGATTACTAGTGCCCCAAGACATGGAAAACAGATTTTTAAAATGCCGAGATGTGTCAGGTCGGATTTAGATTGGCATATTTTGCAGACTTCAATTAGGGTGTATCGCTACTAATAACTGTCATATGTGTGTAAACAACTGGCACTCACTTATGACAGAGTTTTCCAATGCCTTCCAGAGGTTGACATGTTGTGCCTGATGACTCTCCATGAGTGATAAACACTACACCTGGTTTATACTCCTCTATTCCCTGAAATTCAAATAAAATGTTGTTTAACCCATTGAGTGACAACACTCTCGAGTAAAAGTTGTCTGGTGTTAGACAAAGTAAAATAATAAAGTTGGGCACATTGGAGCACAATGCAGCTTAATGACATTGCACCTAATCTGCAATCAGGCTTTTATTTTTCTTGCATCAAGTGCTAGACAGTGTAATGATAGGTTTGTTATTCAAGTCCATTTGTATATCTAGACAAAATACACATTGCCAGAATTTGGCATAACAGATAATTTGTCTGTTTGCCACACATATAAACAGATGAATCATCAGACAAAGATTTTTGCTTTGTCCAAGTTGGTCAGCACAGATCATAAGTCTAGTAGTACAGTAATTTGGTCAAATATTTAAACAATAACCTTTTGTATATCTTCCAAAGTAAAAACTTCACCAATAGGTCTCTCTATCTTTCTGACATCACAACCTAACAAAATTACGAAAAATGAGTTTAGGACATTGCATTTGACACAGGCAGATATATATGTAGAAATTGAGAAAAATGTCAAAATGGACAGAAATTGAGTACAAAGCCATCTAAAGCCTCTTCATTAGACAGAGTAAAATAACAATACAGAAAGCATAGGGGGCATTGTAGCTTAATGGTTCACACTAAACAGACTGGTAACCCTTTAAGTGGCAATGCACCATACTGACCCTACTTTATTATTTTACTCTGTCTAATGCCAGACGATTTTACTGGTCAGGGGAGAGTACTGCCACTCTATGGGTTAGCTTAACACCTTATAGGCATTAAACAGAGTAAAATACTGCTGCTATTAAAATGAAACGAGTTACCAAAATAACCTAAATGAAGACTTTGTATTATAGCTCTATGACAACGCAATCAACTAGTTATAAATTTGAGTAATTAAACACTTCAAATATCAACGTATTGACTATAATTACGTACAAATATAAACAAAGAAGACACTTGCCTATTCTTTCAGCCATATCAGACGCTCTCTCCCCCCAAATTCCATTGACACAAATCATTATTTTCTCGCCTCTTTCTGTCATGTTAATGATGGAAGCTTCAACACCACTATGACCAGTACCGCTTAGCGCAAAAGTATGCTTATTTTTCGTCTGCCAAATGTACTGTAAACCTAACTTTACTTCATCCATAATTGCACAAAACCGTGGGTCTAAGAGCCCCAAAATCGGTTGAGCGCAGGCATCCAGTACCCTTCGGTGGGCATTTGAAGGACCTGGGCCCATTAACAACCGTTCTTCAACTTTTAAAGGCACTAAAAGTTGTTTAGGTGGTTCAACAACAGCCATATTGTTCGTCTTCCACTTTGAAAACACAAATAAATACACGTGTACTTTGCTACCGGAGGTATTTAATCACCGGAAGTAAATCATTACCGGATATCACTGATCTCGAATTTAACACTGGATGATGCATGTGGCCCACTGATACTGATATCAAAGTTAATACTGGATGGAATTTCATACATTTATTAAACTGATTGAACCTAACCAGGGCAGTTGCGGAAAACGAACCTACGGCCCTGCAATTCCGGTGGAGCGCTATAACCAACTGAGCAACAGAGGCCAGTTGTCGAGCTCTAACCACAAATGCACGTATATATACCATAGAAATATTAGATCTAATATTTCTATGAATATTAGGTCTAATATTTCTCTGATATATACCAAGGTGATGTTAATGTGAGGAATATGGGTAAATATCGCATGTTATATCGAGTGAGATGCCGCCCAAAACCCTGATATTACGCATACTAAACCAGAGTATCTTGAGTTTTCTAACCAATCACTGCATTTTCAAGAGACGATAAGCGTCTTTTAAACCATATTCGCGGTTTGGATGGGCAGGTGTCTTAATTAAACTTAATTTGAATATCAAACCACCTGCATACCTGTGCATTGATTGATATTGAGACGTTCTCTACTATATAAGGCTGAACTGAATTCCCAAAAAAGATTAGCAATTTCTGTGAAGAGAGTTTATTGAAGTCAGTATGCTGTTAATATTATTTTACTGTGGGCTAATAAAATTCGTCGTGTCTTCACAGTCCAGCAACGACACACTTAACAACGAGGATACACCTTGTATATGTTGCGGCATTAACTCGTCCATGGCAATGAACACTTCGAAAGCTGATACCAAAGATTGTGTCCTTCAAATTAAGAAAAGAGAAATCAAGCAGGTTATTGAACTTTCAAAAAGTGATCTCGTTAACATAATTGATCTTCACCTCATCTCTAGAACTCGTTCCAACAAAAAGCTGTTTGCAAACATGCAGGTTTCATTAGTGAGTCCCATTGGACGAGAAATTTTATACACGCTTGACAAAGAACGCTATAACCGCGTTACATGGACTTTAAACGCCGGGAGAAAAAACTTCAATTTACATGTGAAGGAAAGTCCGAAAAAATGTAAAAGAGACGTATACGACTTTGTAACGGCGAATATTCTAAAAAAAATCGTTTTACGACAAAAGAATCCAACAAATTATAATTACGAAATCTGTTATCGAAATCGTCGAAGGTGCTGTCGCATTTCTGAGCCCGATTTGACAAACTTCAAGTACGAATGCGTCGAAATAAATTCATTCCTTCACAAGTCTAGTTTTTTATGGATTCTTACAACTCTAATGATAGGTCTCTTTCCAATTTACCTTGTGCGGTTGCTATATATGCTTTTATCTTACAGTGTCTTCGACCAAAACCATTACAAATATCACAAGCTCCAGGAAAGCACGATGTCGCCATCTTCTATTCTCCTTAAAATTATTTGGAAAGAGCAAGGTGGCATAGTATGTTTTTTTCGTAGGTTTTTATTAGTCTGCGCTTTATCATCTATTGTCTACTTCTGTGTTACATATAGTGTATTAGGCCTTGCTGAAAACATTGTTGTACGTCTCTTCTCATTTGTAATATATGTACCATGCTTTCTCTACTTCCTTCTTGTAGGAGGTGACCGTACATTCAAATCATTTGAAAATGAAGAATGTGTGGGCGTAGCCAGTTCTTTAACTTGGCCATTTAACATAAAGTTTTTGAGAGATCACGACAAATTAAGTTGGGTGAAAGACTTCATACTTAAAACACCAAGTGAAGCAAGTTCAATCTCTGATAATGAGTGTAATTGTACGCTTCAATCGTTTAGAGAATATGCATGTTATTTAATTAAAATGACATTTTGTCTGCTCGTGTTTGTTTGTCTTGTCATACACGTTGTCTTTATTCTATCATATTTTTACGTTTTAGTATATGAAATGACAAACATCTTTTCGCTAATTATAATATTTGATGAAAATACCAAAAAGAAAAATAAATATCGCTGTACAAAATTCTTTCCTTGGTTTGATTTTCTTACGACAATCGTCTTTCTCACATTTCTCTTTGATAGTTGTTATATCTTGGTGTTTGTAATACAGTCTTTCCTGTTAGGATTAGTTCTAAATCTTATTTACTTTATCCCTTATCTCGCTTCTTTTTTTGTCTTAACCTTCTACTGTCATGGTTATTGGAAATCCTTGGAAAAGAAATACTTTGTCTTAAAAAACCTAATATACGAAGCGTGCCGAGACAAACAAGACGATAATGTCGATCTGAAAGAAAACGAAAAATTAGTATCTGTGGTGTCTAATGAACTTTATGAAAACATCAGAGAGAAATTGTTACCGTATCATACAAACTTATTTTGGATTAGTTTGAAAATGTTGTGGTCATTTGTGTTCTCGTATGGTATTTATGAGTTGGTAAATATGCTCCATACATTTAATACCACTGCTGCAGTTCAAGTTGTGACAACAGCGAGTGTCGGTGTCTTGCCATATATATTCAATATGGTATCTTGGAAAAACAGCGCCGAAGAAAGGAAAGAAGCGTGGAATGAAGAGATGAAGTTAAATGTGAAAAGTAGGGTGGGCAAACTGATGAAAGAGATTGCTGAGATAACAACAGAGCTGGCTGAGACACTAAACCTGCAGGCTAAGAAACAAGAGCTAGCTAAGAAACAAGACTTGGTTAGGACAGCTTTGAAAGTAGAAAGCGAACAGCTTGAAAAATCTGAGAATCGCTCTTCAACTAATACTGAGAATCAGGCATACGTGAATACTAATCCCGATGGCATCCCGCTATTACCATATGGCATTAATGCGTGAAGGTAACTAGAATATATCCAGTAAGTAACATCTAGGTAATTATTTGGTATATAAAACATTTGGAAACATTAGTGGTGTGAAATACAAGACGCAACCCAAACAACTAAAGCCCAAGGAACTAAATTCCTGGATGCGTTATACTATTTGTCATTTTTTCCCTAAAATAAATTACGAAGGCAGCACAACTAGGCTTGGCAAAAAAGCATAGACTGTTTGTAAGTGTCAAGTCAACAATAGATGATTTCCTTTCTTTTGCACATGTTGTTTTAATGAGTGCACAATCATATAGTATTCCGCATCCAAGTTTTGAAGATGCATTTCTTAATAACGTTATTAATATGTAATAGCCTACTAATAAATATGTAATTTTTGCAACATGATAATTAAACAATACAAGAACCTCTGAATGATTTGTATTGCGCTTTGAGCGAAAATCATGCATGACCATATATCACTAATTGGTCATACATATACATGAACTTGTGGTTAGATCTTGACAACTGGCCTCTGTAGCTCAGTTGGTTAGAGCACGACAACTGGTCTCTGTAGTTCAGTTGGTTAGAGCACGACAACTGTCTCTCTGTAGCTCAGTTGGTTAGAGCACGACAACTGGTCTCTGTAGTTCAGTTGGTTAGAGCACGACAACTGTCTCTGTAGCTCAGTTGGTTAGAGCTTGACAACTGTCTCTCTGTAGTTCAGTTGGTTAGAGTTCGACAACTGTCTCTCTGTAGCTCAGTTGGTTAGAGCTTGACAACTGTCTCTCTGTAGCTCAGTTGGTTAGAGCTCGACAGCTGTCTCTCTGTAGCTCAGTTGGTTAGAGCTCGACAACTGTGTCTCTGTAGCTCAG